GAAGGTTCGTGTTCCGAATTGTCCGAGTTGGACATCTTGAGCTAGTTGTTTCTTACGGTTTTTCTCACGAGAAGCAGTATTGTATTGCAACTACCATTGCGTGTGATCATCTGCAATGACAACTGACAGGGAGGAAGAGCAGGTATTTAAGGCATTTAGCATGTGCAGCGATTGGCTGCTGAGGCATGACGCCCTCATATTTAATGAGGGGGGAAGGGAGCCATAGAGTGACGTGTGAGTGACTCGAGTTAGGTCTTCCTTATTGAACTTGCGCTAAAGCTTTCATTTAATAACAAGTACAGACCAGTTGAAAGTGAGATAACAATGCATGTTTAAATAAACCCAATGATGCAAGAGATCTAATAGCAGCAGGTAAAGTATTCCAGTCAGTTGGGGCTTTGAACATGAACGCTCTTCTGCCAATCAATTTTTTTGCAGAGGGGACAGAGAAATAAATCTGAACAGAATGTCTAACTTGATGAATTGGTGAGTAGGGTACAAAATACTGCTTTAAATAAGGGGGATAGTTAAGATAAATTCATTTAAATATCAGCTGAAGCCAATGCGTGTCTTCTTACATTTAATGAAGGCCATTTCAGTTGGTTATACATTGTGCAGTGATGTTTGAGAAACCGGCTCCAGATACACTTTTTGTTATATTCCATGGAATGCTCTTAACATCCTGATAGCAATGAATATATTAAATGCTTTGACAAAAAATACATAAACAAATGTCATCTGTGGAAACCATGGCGCTGTAAAAAGCACGACCAATCATTTTAGCCGGCCCGGCTAAAATAACTGGATGGCCTACCTGCCTGTCAGCCTTCCATCTGTGCACAAACTTATCTCGTGCCCTCATTGGTCATGTGGATCTTATGTCGTGTGTGTTGGAGGAGGGGCTCTGTAAGGAAGTGGCAGATTTCTTCCGGCTGTGTATTTTCAAATTCTAGTGCACTCGAGCCGGTTTCTCCAAAATTACCTACCCCACCTTTAAAAGGTAAAAAACACAACATTAATTACAGACTGAAAGCAGTTCTGAAAAGGTGAGTTTTGATTTGTTATTCGAACATTGAGATGTATTGATGAGCATATTCAGGGAGTAGCCTACACCAACAATGAAACACAGTATAGGCCTACTACATTTAAAAAAGCAGGAACAGAAAATGCTCCGTTTTATTTGAATACACACAGTTAAGCTCACACACACTATTTTATGAACAGGGGTTCACCTGCTGAATTAAAAACAGAACAAATGAACCAAAGAAAAAGAAAACCATGAAGCAGATTCAGGGAGTCGGCGTTTAGATTCACACTTAAAGTATTAGCCCACAGAACAGTACAGTTAACAGAGAAGAAATTCAATCTTCTCCTTTTAAAACAAACACAATGTGCTCTTTTTTGTTATTTAGTAACATTGTAACCCTGCTAGTAAACCCAATATTTAGAAATGTAACAGTAATCTGATCATGTCTTTTTAAATGCAAGGGAAACAGCTACTATGTGTTGGATAACGTTATACCATTACATGTAATCGGTTTCTCCCCAAACCTGTGTGTATGAGCATCGCTGTATAAGAAAACACTTTTTAAATTCACTGCAGATCCTGCACGTGAATCAAAAGGCTTAGAAAGGCTTTCCTGCATGTGTCTAGCAGGTGAGAAAAACATTATATGTGTAGGTTTCAGGTGAGAAGATTTAGAGTTTGGCTGAGGAAACAGAAGGGATTTGGATCAACTGCTAATGAAGAGGACAGAAACAACGTCAGACAGCGGATCAACTGCGGCTGAGCTGCTGTTTAAGATGAAAACATTCCTCATAATCACAAACACAAACTGCTGGAATAAGTACTCACATATTTTACTGAAGGAAAAGTAGCAATACTACGGCATACAAATACTTAGTTACAAAAGACCTGCATTCAAAATGTTACTCAAGTAAAAACAGAAAAGTATTAGCAACAAAATATAGTAAAGAAAAAAAAGTAAAAGTATTCATTGTGCAGATTGGTCCATTTCAGAATAATATATGATATGTTTTATAATGATTGATCATTAAAGTGTTCTCAAAGCTGGTAAAGGTGCAGCTAGTTTGAATGACTTTGTATACTGCAGGGTAGCTTGTGAATTTACTCCAGGTGGAACTAAAGTCTGATTCAACACTTGATTATATTTCACATCATTCATCCACATCTGTGAAGTAACTAAAGGTATTAAATAAAAGTAGTGGAGTAAAAGTACACTATTTACCTCTGAATTGTAGTGGAGTAGAAGTACAAAGTAGCATACAATGGAAATACTCAAGTAAAGTAACATCAAACTCAAAATTGTACTTAAGTACAGTACTTGAGTAAATATACTCAGTTACTTTACACCTCGGTTAGCTATGTAGGTTTTAGTGCATGTACTGTAAATGGTCTGCAGAGGTTTAAATCTCAAAGTTAAACTCTTACACCCCACCCCCCCCCCCCCCCCCCCCCCCTGCCTGAAATGCATGTAAATGTAATAAGTCACAGTAGATGCACAACTACCTGAACCTGAAAATGAGCAGCATAGGGCCCCTTTAAATGTTTACTTAAGTACTGTACTCGAGTAAATGTACTTGACTTGTATTTTCCTGCTGGTTAGCCCCTGCTCTGTCACACTGTGCTTTCAGAGGCAGAGAACACATAATGAGAAGCCTCCGGTTCAATTTGCAAAGCACAAACAGCAAATCCCACAATCTGCACTGCAACATAACGGGGAGAATTGGCTGGTCACTCTGTACCTTTGCAATTAGAGTTTGGCACGTAGGCAAAGCAATCATAAAACCCCCTTAAATAGCAGCACGTGTTTACATGTTTTATTTAGAATTGTACAACTTAATTAATGTAACAAAGGCAAGTGTAATAAACTGAGACTTTAATCTACACCTTTTTAGTCAGTATATATTTATTTTGTCACTATTTCAAAAGTAATTACTTATTACTTTTAGTAGAAACCTTTGACCTCAAAACATACATCCTAACTGGACCACGCTTCTTCCGGTGCATTAGGGTTAGGGGTGAAACAGATTTTACTTTCACGCCTAATCCAGCTCAGTGACGGGAAACAAACCCACCCGTCCAGACATGGAGTTCAGTGGGGGGAAGACCATGAAGTCACAGGTGGGAGCACAGAGAGTGTCTTCAATATCAAACATCATCTAATTCATTCAGTTCAAAACAAAACACCCATAACATTTGCACACGCATTGGGAGTTGTCCAAATGCCTGTGATCCGTCGGCAGCTTAACTGTCAGTGTGTGTTAGCTGATTAAAAATAAATGTTGTTCAAATCCAATCCTTACGACACCGTTCTCCCTCAGACGGTTATCTCTGATTAAGAGTGAGTGTGCTGCCCTAGTGACCCAGTATTTACCTGAGATCACTTCATTACACTGTCTTTGTTATTTAATGCTCAAATATTTATTTTATTAAATATTTTACAATTATTTAAAGTGTTGAAATGTGATCACTTGAGTTTGTCGCTGTTTTTAAAAATAAAAGTGACATGAAGATGCATGAACTGGTCCCAACAATGTGTGTGCAATGATAATCCGACAGAGAAATAGGTCACTGGGCCTGAGGGCCTTTTATAAACCACCTCAGTCAGTCATCCTGGGCCGTAAGGGGCTTCTGATTGGCTAAGAAGACGAGCTATGGCTGCATCTCACTTCGGTTAAATGGATTCCTTGCGTCCCTCACTTGTGTCGTTTCCCTGTGACTAGTCCCTCCCACCAGGGAAGCATGGAGAGAGGCAAGGGCTGCTTCTCAGGTCGATTAAATGAAATCCTTGCTTCCCTCACTTGCGTCGTTTCCCTGCGTTTAGTCCCTCCCACCAGGGAAGCATGGAGGGACGCAAGGAAACCACGAGAAGCAGGGAAATGAGTTTTAAGAGCAATGGGACGTCCTTTCCTCCGGAGCGTCACGTGAAGCGACGTCCGTTTGTGATGACGCTGCACAGCTGATCGTCTGACAGCAGCCAGTTCTGTCCCCGTTATTTCCACACACACCCCCGCCTCTGTTAGTACACATTTACTGACACAAACATTTGTATCATCTGTTGTAGACTCCAATAAATAAAATAAAATAAGAACTCATTCTCAAAAAAGATAAACGTCATTCTTAAAATATAAAACGAAAAAAGCGATCATGAAAATGTTTCCAATAAATGAAGAAAATTATTTTTGACCACTTTGTTGTTCAGATATATCACATATTTGTAACTAAATGATACATGAATTGAAACAAAACACTGTATAAACTGAGGAGTGAGTCCCGTGAGGTTCATGTATTTTCTTCACTCCGCTGGGAAACTGCTCTCATGTCAAGAAGCATGAGATCTATGTAAACTGTGATTCCAGTCTCCAAGATGAGACGTTCAGGGGGCGAAAGGAGTGTAGGTTCAATACACATGTCTCCAGATTCCCCCTGTAAATTATTATAAATATTTGTTTTAATTGTATGTGACATGCATTGTTTGTTATCCTCTTTGTGAAATAACTCGCTTTTTTTAAATCACACAAGATTGTGTGATTGTGTGTAATTATGTAATTGTTTTTCTCTTGTCCAAAACAGATTTGGAATAAAATATGTTGAAATGGTGATACCAAGTGTTATTGATTAAATTAGAGTGTGAATATAGTCCTACCGTCCGTATGTTGTTTCCTTTCCTTTTTGTATACACAGTACATCGCTACAAAATAGGGAATTTAATAAAACATTATATAAAAATAGCTAAATATGTCGGTGGGTTATTTGTCGCCAATTTTGAATAGCGGGTAGCTGGCTCCTCCACACAAAACAAACATTTATCCTGGGTTAGCGTTATACCAATATACCAATATTTCTTTATTAAATTAACTTGTAAACACGTGTTCACATACGGGAAAAAACGATTACTGTCTCATGTCATGTAGCCTACCTTTAAATATTTTGACTCAACAACAAGTAGCCTCTTCTTCGTTTTGGATTATCGACTTTACGAGGCGCTCTTGAAGTGCTCTAATGGCTGCGCGCTGATACCACTGTGAGGTGTGTGTGTGTGTGAGTAGTTATGTGGGAGGGGGAAAAGCCCCCTGAGCACAACTCCTGTGTCATGAAGGACGGTTCACTAGTAGGCCTGTGACCGCCGGACAGCCGCGATGGACTTCATGCTGAGCGGGGCGGCCGCGTGCGGAGCCTGCCTGTTCACCAACCCGCTGGAGGTGGTCAAAACTCGGATGCAACTCCAAGGAGAGCTCAAGACCCGGGGCTCCTACCAGGTTTACTACCGCAATGTGTTTCACGCTTTTTACACTATCGGTAAAGTGGACGGACTTGCCGGCCTGCAGAAAGGTCTCGCGCCGGGGCTCGTGTATCAGTTTTTAATGAATGGAGTCAGACTCGGCTCGTTCGCCATCATTGAGTCCTCGGGCCACATCCACACAGAGGGCAGGGTCAGTGCGGTTAAAACCACGCTAGCAGGGGCTGTGGCCGGAGTGGTGGGAGCCGTGATGGGAAGCCCCGTGTACCTGGTCTGTATCTGGCTTTATTTCCCTTTTATTGCAGGTGTGTGACATTTCAAGGTGAGCTGTCCCTTTTGTAACTGTGGACACACATTGTCTCCTTTGACAGGTAAAGACTCACCTGCAGAGTCAGTCTACCTCCTCTATTGCAGTTGGACATCAGCACAAACACCAGGTAACACACACTGATGGTGTTTCATATGAATGACAGCTGTCAACAATTTACCCCTAGTAAACCCACACACACAACAACATAGACTATAACACCCCTTTTTGTTAAATACCAACTATGTGCAATATATATATATATATATGCAGTTAATAACTGTGCAATATATACCTGGCTGCTACATCTTCAGAACTGTTACAGGATGTGTATTTTGTAAATTGTGTAATATTAATGTTATGCATGCTTCTTAGTTAACATTAAGCTGTCTTTGGCTCTTTTCTGCTGTAACATGTACATTTCCCCTCAGGTATTCTGATTCTGTCTCCTCACGTGTTCTTCCTCTTCCTGTCAGGGGATGATCCACGCTCTGGCAGCCATCTACAGGCAGCATGGCATTCTGGGACTGTGGAGGGGCTCCAGTGCTGCTATCCCGAGGGTCAGCGTGGGGTCAGCTGCTCAACTCTCCACTTTCTCCTCCGCCAAGGAACTAGTGCTTGACTTACAGGTTGGAATAGTTTACTACTTCTCCGCTGAGGTTTCATCTCAGCATGGGTTAAAGGCTGACCAGGGGGATGTTGGTTCCTCAGCTTTCCACACTGTTCAGTCTGTTGTCGGGGATATTATTGCACAACTCACATTGAGCTGTTCTGATTAGTTTAGGGACTGGAAATCACTCTGAATATCAATCATACAATAGCTTGTTTTGTTGTTAAAAACGTGCTGCTTTTCTAAGACTTATATGATTGGACATTTAACTTTTGATTATTAAAAAATCAGTAGTCACATGATTTGGACGAGATCATTTGTAGTCAGTAGCCGCGTACAGATTACAAAAGCAGTCATTGTGTCCCGACAAAGCATTGCTCTCTTCTGGAATAGAAATTCGATACCTTTCATTGCCCCCCCTCACTCCGAAAAAATGTAGCTTATATAACCAGGGCACCAGTTTACTGGGTGTAAGTTACACCCATAGTAAAAAGCCTTACATCTTTCCAAATGTTCAGAAAACAATTCCGACATCCTGGTTTTCTATTACTACCAGACTTTGAGCCGTTGTGTGTTTGTTTGTAAGTGGTAACGACTGTTGAGCTGCTGCTGTGTTGTCTGTTTTATTGTCGTATGAAGCGATGTACTGTCCTGTACGTAGTAGTAGTAGTAGTTGACAGTAACTATAGGAGTGTGTGTGTGTGTGTGTGTGTGTGTGTGTGTGTGTGTGTGTGTGTGTGTGTGTGTGTGTGTGTGTGTGTGTGTGTGTGTGTTGTGTGTGTGTGTGTGTGTGTGTGTGTGGTGTGTGGTGTGTGTGTGGTGTGTGTGTGTGTGTGTGTGTGTGTGTGTGTGTGTGTGTGTGTGTGTGTGTGTGTGTGTGTGTGTGTGGCACTAATAATAGTCATTCCTCTGTTTCTCTGCATGTATGAGATCACCAGTTGAAATTAGAAGTGGTGGTGATAAACTGGTCTAGCATCGATGCACAGGTGCAAGAGGTGTGCTACATTCTGTCACTTCTCACGTCTACATTACTGAGCCTCACATTGTGTTGTTCCCTTCTTCCCAAGGTGTTCCCTAAGGACAGCTGGTTCGTGGCCCTCACTGCCGGAATGATCAGCAGCGTGGTGGTGGTGATAGCTATGACGCCTTTTGATGTCGTGAGCACGCGGCTCTACAACCAGCCTGTGGATCATTTGGGCAAGGTGAGGATATGAGAAAGTTACACTCCTTTAGCTCTGTTTTTATCACGTAGAACCCCACCTTTTCTACCATGGTTGCGGTCCAATTGTCACCCTTTTGCTGAGGAAAGTTTCTAACTGAGGGAACTGACCCGAAAGTACCTGCGTGGCAGCTGTGGTGGGAATGTATTTATCAAATGTGGATAGAGAATCAAACCATTCAGCTGTTTTTGTCGTATTTTATTTATTGCAAGAAAGTTCAGTCAGTCATACAGAGAGCATACTGTCTGCAGAGTGAAAGACGAAGAATAGAGTTTGGGTTGCATATTGAAATACAGAGAGAGGAGAAAGGGAGGGGTGAAGCTTGGTGATAATGAAAGGAGCATTCTGGAAGCTAGGGAGGCCGTATCAGGAAGTTCTCAGTTCACTGAGTTGAAGGTCATACTGTCGGTGCACATGGAGTGGAACTAACAACATTGCAGCACTTCTTCTTAATAAGGAATTTTCCTAAGATGTGTGAGAAGTAGTAAATATAGATAAATACGAATCACATAATGATATTATTAAAGTAAGTAAGTGAGTATATAATATGTTTCTATTACACAGCCATGATAAGATTTGTTTGGAATCTCTAGATCAGGGGTTCCCAAAGTGACCCTGTGTAAATATTATTAATTATAACATGTGCATAGACATTTTTCAGGTGCGGACTGGCCATCTGTATAATTTCCCTGCAGTGAGGCTCCCCCCGTTGACAATCCACTAGCGCAGTGTTCCTCAAACTTGTTCATACCAAGGACCACTTAACCAATAAAAAAACACTCACAGACCACCTGACTCATTACATTGCATTCACACAAATATCCAAAAACAATAGGCCTGCTTACCACTCCAACAGTATATAACAGCCTAATAATGACAGCTTAACCTTCTCTATATCACCTCGTTCACACAATAAATCAACAATACAAATACAACTACAGATTATATAAGCATTTAGTTCAAATGCGATTTAAAATGCTCACAGGTTTTACACCTCTTATGAAATGTAGACTACATTTATTACGGAGTTTATGTCCGAGCCAACAGACTCACATAACGTTGGCTACTAAGAGAGATATGCAAAATACACCGCATGTAGTACGACACAAACCTCCGCTGTGGATTTTCAAAACAAAATGGTAAAACTATGGTCGCAGGCCCAAGTTTAACTCTCTGAGGTCTGCCTACAAAACTAAAATAAAAAAACGTTTTTGCAGCCCCAACAACAGCCTCTGATCTTCAACAGACTTCATGCAATGCTTCATTGGATGCATATATTAGATCATCTCTATCTCACTCCTAACATCTAAATCCACTTTCAGCATGGATAAATGTCCATAAGATACATCCATTGTTTGTTTTATATGCTTCTTGAAATCCTAAAAAACACATAGTTTTTCTAGAACAGATTCAAAGTGGCAACATGTGTGATGAAGGTTTTGCGCTGGGATATATCATGCAATCGAAAGTCAAACTTAAGCTCGCTCCATTGCGGTTATTGCAGATATTCCCGCGAGAGTGCGAAAAACTTAAATAAATAAATGTATTCACTAGCACGCCACGTTGACAGGGGTCGCCAGTCACTGTTATCTTGGGGGTCGCGGGCCGAAAAGTTTGGGAACCCCTGGTCTAGATGATAGGAAAGGAGCTTCAGTTTTCCTTTATTATATACCCTTTAGCTTAGGATACACTGGACCATCCTTTTTGCGATAGGAAAGATATTGTAAGTTAACAGTGCTTATAAACAGGGCTGCACATAACTGGTGCGCAGGTGCGCATGCGCACCTCGGCCAAAAAAAGAGCACCGGGTCATTTGAAAAAAGGCGCATTTGCGTACCAACATTGAGACAGAGAGGAAGGGAGAAGAGAAAAGAGAGAAGAGAGGAGAGAGAAGAGAGAAGAGAGAGAAAGATATTTGTGAGTTGCATATGAACTCAGGGCCGGCCCGTCGCACTGGCGTTGATTTTCGCCTAGGGCGCCAGATCTGTGGAGGCGCTGCGCTGGTATTCTGGGAGGGAAAAAAACATTTTTGACCGTTGGTGCTCATCCTAATTTTCGGCCTTGATGTAACAACATTCATAATTAAGTAAATGTAACACCCTTTTCACCCCGGTTACACGTTTCATTTGCCCTGTACGATGGCCGCTGTAAGTGATGAAAATGGGGGATGTTGGCTTATCTGGCGCCCGCAGCTCACAGCCAAAGTGCGAGTGAGCGAGGGAGAGAGGGAGGGTACACCGGTACCGGCGCTGTTGTTATTAGAATCTGGTGCTAGCTGCGGATATAAGAAGAAGATGTTTCTACAATGATGTGGAGGGAGAGTCCTCTCCAGTCAGACCGAGAGACTGATAACTGCAGCTCAGTGAGGTAAGGACTCTGAGTGTTTAGATAGTTCATAGTCTAAGTTCAAACGGTTTGGTCACAATTTATGTAAACACATATTTTCAAGGCACTCCTTTATAATTATTGGGATAAACAGGTTTGAAATCATTCCAATGTATACTATAGGACAGTAACCAAACATATCCTTTTAAAACTGGACTTTCGACCCAAAACCAGCTGTTGACTTGTGGATGCAAGCAGCTAATCGCAGACTCAACCAGAGAGAAAGAAGTAGGCCTACATCATCAGCTACCATGTCTGACAGTGAGGAAGACAGTGAGGGGAACAGTCAGGAGGGTAGTGATGACAGCTTGTAGGATTACTGGTCGTGCTAATGTTGTCTTGTGTTCGCCTCTGCATGTGTGTTCTGTGTTCGCCTCTGCATGTGTGTTCTGTGTTCGCCTCTGCATGTGTGTTCTGTGTTCGCCTCTGCATGTGTGTTCTGTGTTCGCCTCTGCATGTGTGTTCTGTGTTCGCCTCTGCATGTGTGTTCTGTGTTCGCCTCTGCATGTGTGTTCTGTGTTCGCCTCTGCATGTGTGTTCTGTGTCACCTCTGCATGTGTGTTCTGTGTTCACCTCTGCATGTGTGTTCAGTGTTCGCCTCTGCATGTGTGTTCTGTGTTCGCCTCTGCATGTGTGTTCTGTGTTCGCCTCTGCATGTGTGTTCTGTGTTCGCCTCTGCATGTGTGTTCTGTGTTCGCCTCTGCATGTGTGTTCTGTGTTCACCTCTGTGTGTTCTGTGCCGTGTGTCTGGCAAATAAAGACCGGTTTATTTATTTCATTTTAAGGATGAGCACCAAGCAACATCTCCAGGTGCTCCTTTGAGAACCAGGGCAAAAAAGTTATGTGCACCCCTGCTTATAAAGCATCTTTCAACTTATGCCATAACATTTCATTTTTAATGAAGTTAAGTCAATATAAAGTCTATTTACAAGAGAACTAATGCAGGTGTAAAAAAGAGTTGTATAAAAAGGTATTTGTGGCTCTAGAGGGGTTCAAGTGAAGTCTTTTGCCTCAAGTGATGTCAGTCGAGTCAGCTTTGGTTGAGTCTTAAAACTTCAAGTTTGAAATATGGGTGTTGGCTTTAGAAAAAAGCTTACCCGCTCTCTGTAGCGCTGAGGCTAACGGCTCAAGCTACATTAGCCACTCCTAACCAGAGGATGCGTTTGATTTGTCAGTTTAGCTTAGGAAGGTTCCTAATGAAGTGAAATGACCCGGATGTACCTCAGTGGCCGCTGAGAAACTCCTTTTATAATCTCCTTTATTTTAGAAAACACTGGACCTTCCTTTGCTGAAACAATTTCATAACATTCATCTGCTACTTAGTAATTATGTATCTATTATCTAATATATCATTCCAATAACTTGTATATAGACTCGTATTGCACTATTCCACTTTATTTTTTTCTCACTTTTTTAAAAACTATTTTTCTTTTTGTATTACTTTTAATATAATATACTTTAATATTGTTTTAATATAGTCTGCTTATCTGTATTATTGTGTTGCATTGTTGGAGAAGCCTGTGACCTAAGATTTTCAACGACATAATTACTCTGTAGCTATGTTAGTTTGACAATAAAGAACCTTGAACCTTGAAAGGAAAGGAAAAATGCTGTCCCACAATGCCTTGCAGCCGCAACATTTACCATGACACAACAGAAAACTGTTTCCCCACAGCAGACACACATTAAAAACATCCGCTGGCGGGTCATAAACATGTCGGATAGTGTCAGTGCAGTCGGATTCTCTTGAAGACCGTCGTCTTTTCCTAAGTCCTTTTGAATTCTCCTATCCACTATTCCTTAACCCTGTGACGTTTCACACGGAGGTCAAGGAATAGTGGTTCGGAAAAGGAGAAAAACCAACTCCAACTAAACTGTCGCTTGCATTGTGGGTAATATATACCTGCCATATTTTGACAGATCTCTGGTTCTGCTGCATGGATTTTTAGATCTCAAACACTGATCACACTCTGACGACTTTTCTTTGTCATATTTCAGGGGCAGCTTTATAAAGGCTTCACGGACTGCTTCTCCAGGACGCTGAAGAAGGAGGGCCTGATGGGACTCTATAAAGGCTTGGGAGCCTCTTATTTCAGGATCGGCCCACACACCATTTTGTCCTTGTTCTTCTGGGACGAACTGCGCAAAATGTACCAGCGCCAGCAGCTCAGATAACACAAGGGACAAGGAAGCTGGACAATGGGTAACTCATTAAGCTCTGCATTTAATGAGGTTAAAGGAAAACCAGGAGCTCTTTTCTTGGTGTGGAAGAGAAGAAGCAAAGGTTACATTTTTACACTCCAAGATGAAAACAAATAAGTACTGTCAAACTATGACAACCTGCATAGGGACTCAGAGAGAAACGCGTTAGACCTCATGTACAGTTGGCTCTGTGTCAAACACTAGGGCTCTTTTGTAGCAATGAAAGTCCTCTGGTGTATAGCATGCACTGGACACACGAGAGTAGCTTCTGGAGAAAGCACAACATGTGGCCACAGTTTGAGGAAATGAAGGGATTGTGCCAACACACACAGCAGCAGAGTCAAAGGGAAACACAATGTATGATGTCAGGGTGAAACGGAGCGTTCAGATTTTACTGTGAAATTGTTAAAACAAGGCAACGTTTTGAGGAGTGTTGAGTGCTTATACAATGTGTGTGCTGGGATATTTTACAAACCAAGCCTTACAATTATAACATATCAAGTGTCTTACTTGTAAAAAAAGACACTTTCTTCGTTTAATTAATAGAAATAGCAAAACATGTACATTTTTTAGTACATTTTTATTAGTTATTGATGACATAAAACATACTTGTTTAACAATTGTCCATGATTAAGGTTACCTGAATGTACTTTACAATACTATTTAATATATTTTAAACCTTTATGCGTTGTGTTTGTTTATTTTGAAAGGGTCAGATACATAACAAATTAATTGTTAATGAATAGATAACGCCATTGAGCATTTCACTGTAGATTTAGCTTATCTGCTAATGCACTTTTTTTTAAAGAATAGATATACAGTGCAATACAAATACACAATAAAACCAAAATAATGCTCATGAAGTACAGTAAGAGTTGATGGAGGAAGAAGTTATTGCCAAACGACTCCTTAAGAAATGCACTTTGAGTAACAAATTGTCAAAATTCACGAACTTTAAACTACCTACAGTATATGTGTATTTTATATGTACGTGGTGGTAAATGTACTTACTGCAAAAAAGTCTGTTTTTGTTTTACAACTATTCAAACTTTACATATAAATACATCATTATGCTGTTACAGTATGGGTTTTTAAAAACTTGCTTTTATTGTTATTAATAATATTTAGTTTCTAAAACATTTCATTTGTATAATTTTTATTTATGTAACTTCAATCCATTTTTCAGCATTTCTCAGTTTTTTCAGGCCTCCAAAAAGTACCGTCAAATTCCTTAAAGTATCAGGTCATTAAAGTTAGAGTATAGAGGATGTCCACTCTTTATGGGCTGGACAAATACAAATACATCCTGTACATATTTTAATTTGACCCTCTCCAGGTCAGCAAAAGTGTACACCAGTGTTCCTAAATTAAATAAGCGTATAGCCAAAGTGAAGACAGGTTACATGATGAATACAGTTCGTTTCCTCACAGTTTGAAAATATCTTTGGTATTGTGAGTGAATCACATTTAACATGAAATAAACAAATTCAACCGTAAATATTTACATATTTTGTGCTTTCTTCATAACATGCACAATACTCCACAAAGTGCCAAGGCTTTAATAATACATTATGATAAGTTTACTGTAGCTTTAATAACACATATTGTTCTGTTTTAACTCCCGTTAAATAACTCCTAACCTTATTTTGAATTATGAAGATTTCCTGATATTGCTGTTTTTTTACTTTCCAAACAACCAGGTTTTTAATCAATTTAAAAATGCCCACTTGTACCGTGAACACGTGTTTGTTTTGAGTGTTCTAGTGTAATATAGAACAGGATAAACAAGTATCAGCTGGAGTATAGTCTCTCCCATGACGCATTACTAGACGATGAAGAGGAGACATTAAAGACAGCTTCAACACATAAATGATTCCTTTCAGACGTACTAACGTTTGTTTACTTCACACCGAGAATCTGATGACTTTATAAAACTAAAAGCAGATTAGAAACCATGCGGCTGTGGCGCAGTGGATTAGTGCACTGGTGTTTGGATCAGGGGAGCACAGGTTCAAACCCCACTGCAGTCAGCATGTCGTTGTGTCCCTGAAGACACTTCACCCCAAATTGCTCCTGTGGGGATTGTCCTCAGTATTGAGTAAGTCGCTTTGGATAAAAGCGTCTAACAAGTGACATGTAATAATACTGTGAAAAGTGACTGGCTAGACCGAGCTTTTAATAACAATTATTCAGCGGTAAAACATTTCATTTTTTTTACGTGCCACACTGTCCAAATTGGCGATGTCAGATTCTGATGATAAAGCCATTTAGTTCATTTGTGTGGATAAGAGAGAGGGTGAGCGAGGCTCAGATATTGGTCCTGTTTTAGTTATTGTTTGACCTCATTCAACATAGCTAAACTATAACTTCAATACGGGCTCTTTTACTTGAAATGCGTCACATGATGAGCCCGAGGGGAGTTGTGGCTGGAGGTTCATTTCCAGTTTACCAGAATGACTGTGATCTTCTGACTACATTCACAATTGTGCAATTGATGCATTTCCCCACCAACCTATTGTCTAATTGGAGAACAGAGAGTGCAGCACTGTGAGTTCATGCACTCATCAGGTGACGCCATTATCACATTGTGTATATGCACAATTATTCTTGAGGATCTGGTTATTTTAGAAACAGAAAGTAAATGCATGTTCTGAAATATGAAAGGAAAGCTAGGGTATCAATAGTTTTTGCATTAGCGTGATATTTACCTGTGCACTTGTTTAGATAGAAGGCAAGTGGATGGAGGAAGTATTTAGATCCCTTACTTTAGTAAAAGTGTAAATACCATACTGTGAACATACTTTATTCCAATTAAAAAGCCTGAATTGAAATCAGAATCAGAATACCTTTATTCGTCCCACAGAGAGGAAAATTACATTTGCACATACATACAAGCACTCTAAGTATCTAAAGAAAAACCTAAAACAATCAATCTATTAAAAACTGTTCTTGTATGAACTGTGGTTTAATTTAAAATAAAACATTACATTTCTTAATAAAAATATTTACTTAAAGTAGCTAAGGCTGTAAATGATAGTAGTGGACTAAAAAGCATAATATTCCCTATGAATGGTACTGAAGTAGAAGTATAAATAAGATATCAAAGTAAAGTACATGCTATTACTTGAATACATACCACCACTGATATAGTAAGATACAAATGGTGATGAAAAACACAAAGAAACTATTAACTATTATTTGATCTACCTGCAGGCATCAGGGTTTTATTTTTTCACTTGCAGTAATGTGTATATATCATGTCACGTGTGCAACAACAGGCTTTAATTTTGTTTGTATTTTGTCATTGTAGTTTCACGAGATTCACTTGCAGGTTTTCTTTGTGTATATGACAAGTCACATGTCTCGTGTCAGCTGGGTCACCATGGCATGGTGCACAAGGATAATGCTGTGTGTGAGCCTACTATCACCTAAAGAATATATCTAGGATTAAAAGACTAATGTCACAGCAGGATTTGGAAAAACTTGTCCATGCTTTTATCTTCAGTAGACTCGACTACTGCAATGGTGTCTTCACAGGTCTCACTAAAAAATCTATTAGGAAGCTGCAGCTGATTCAGAACACCGCTGCTCGAGTCCTCACTAACACTAAGAAAGTGGATCACATCACTCCTGTTCTGAAGTCTTTACACTGGCTTCCTGTGTGTCAAAGAATAGATTTCAAAATATTGCTGCTGGTTTATAAAGCACTGAATGGTTTAGGCCCAAAATACATTACTGACCTCCTGCTAAATTATGAACCATCCAGATCTCTCAGGTCTTCAGGGACTGGTCAGCTTTCTGTCCCCAGAGTCAGAACTAAACATGGTAAAGCAGCGTTCAGTTATTATGCTCCAAATATCTGGAACAAACTCCCAGAAACCTGCAGGTCCGCTACAACTCTGACTACTTTTAAATCCAGGCTGAAGACTTTTCTTTTTGTCGCTGCTTTTAATTGAATTATTCATATCTTAGACTGCACTGTAACTTTTATCCATGTACTTTTTTCTTTTAATGTTTATTTTATTAGCTTTTCTTTTTAATGACTGATTTTAAATGCCATTTTCTTAATCTCTTTCATTTTTTTGTAAAGCACTTTGAATTGCCTTGTGTTGAAAAGTGCTATATAAATAAACTTGCCTTGCCTTGCCTTGCCTTGTAAAAGGCAAACAAAGAGGAAACTGGAGGAGGTCAGTTTTGATAATGCTCAACTAAGGTCTTCACAGTGCCGACACAAAGGTGAGTGAAGGTGACAGCTCTTTTAAATCTTACATTTTATTACAGAGACAAATATAAACAGCATCATTAAATAAAGAAATGGTTTATTATCTGGTGATATCTCATCGTGTGAGCTGTTGGATGGAAAACACAAACCAGGTCAACACGGTTACCTCAGTGTGTCTTGGCTGAGCTCCTGCAAACATCCAGTGTTACCGAGCAACAGTGATCATTTGAGGGCGGGCGTTACCTGAAGCATATAAACCTGTTAATGGAAAGCTTCTTGCATACAAAATTAAAAACGGTTGCTTAGGAGGAAATACTATACTTTTTTGACATAATATACCATAATTAGTTTCTGACATACTAAACTAAACATACTTTTATGACGTTACATTCAATGTATTTTATTCACAAACAGTTTCAAATACAATCATAATACATGATGGAGATATGTGGAATGGGACATAAACGATCCAGACACTAAGCAGGAAGTCCAACACATTGTACGTGATGGAGCGGGACTTCTCTCAGCAGTTGACCAATCACAACAGAGCTGGCCAGCTAACCAATCAGAGCAGACTGGGCTCTGGTTTCAGACAGAGGGTGAAAAGAGGTGCTGCAGCACAGGCAGTATGAGAAAAATAAAGAACCTTTTGAACCTTAAAGCATGGAGACATGTAGAGGCAAGAAATACAAATATGCACCTGGAAGTTAGCATAATATATCCTCAATATGAAATATCTAAATGTAGCATACAGCCATATATATATATGTACAAAAAGTGTTCTGTACTGTAAACATTTCCTGCTACATCGGTGCTGTATTTGTAGCCATTCTTATTCCAACATCAGGCGCAGAATCCCAAAGCATTTCCTCCTAGGACAGGAAGGATTTGCATATGATGTGAGTGTTGGTTCATCACTGTCCTCCACCTCTACTCGCTCTTCTTTTTGGTGGCATCAGGGCAGAGGACCTGAGCCAGGAGGACGCAGCTGAGGCAGGCTGACAGAGTGTGGGACACCGTGGCTAACCAGTTTCCTGTCTCCTGTAAGACACAGTTTGGAGCAGTTAGTAAAGATAACCATGAGTGATTGGAGTAAAGTGCATGCTGTGTTTCTGTCTGAGCGTACCTGTAGAGACACAAAGATGAATCCCAGAGAGCCGGCCCAGGACAGAAGCACAGACAGAGAGGACAGCTGGCCCGTGCTGGCGTTACTGTGGTTTGTTCCAGCCTGGAAGACCTGGAAACAACAATAACAGCAAATGCATTCTCTGTCCTCTGATAGATTTACATTTTGCATGCTTACTTTTAGTTTGTCTCAAAAAGCCATGTGTGTAAAAAAGTGATCCACTAACAGAGATGTTAGAAAGATATTAACAAGTGTGATTTGTTTAGTTGTATTTTATAATTAGAGAATTCACAGATTTTACTTCATGCTTTTCCAGATTCAAGACTTTTATTGTCATTGGCACATATAGCTACAGTGTAGTTATGACAATGAAGATCTGAGGTCCTCCAACAGTGCAACACAATAACACAGTGCTAATGCATTTGTAGTTTTGTGTACTTGCTAAATATTTTTGTGAGTTTGCACGTTTTTCTTTTGCATTCATGGAAGGAACACATTTCACGCATTATTGGTCTGTTCATACATAATCATTTTGAGACAAATCTACCTAATGGTCATAGGACAGCAAACATTGAGCTGCAGAGATATGTTTGAGTTGCGACCTTGCTTGCTATTAAAGCTGGCAAACTGGAGGCCTGCATCGCTGAGACGACTGTTGCCGCTGCATAGGACGCCAGAAGGAGAATGGCCCCTCCGAAAGCCAAGAGGAGCAGAATTCCTGCCATGAAAAGAGAATAACAGGAATGAATAAGGAATTTCATGCACAAAGAAAAAAAAAACCCACTGAAAACCAGCTCTGGTTTCAGACAGAAGGGGAAAAGAGGTAGGCAGTACAGGAAAAATAAAGACCTTTTTAACAAAGGCACAAAAAACAAATATGAACTTGAAGATGAGCACAATATGTCCTCTTTAACTCAGAGAAATGTGCTCTTTGAACACAAGGTCCCTCTGAGAAGTGTACAAGATAACACCACAAGAGGGCGCTCCAGGAAATTATTGAGCAAAAAATTAAACAGGAAGACTTTATGAGTCACTGATAAACCCCTCTTCGCATAAACATCAGACTGAACAACAACAGAGCTGCACACAAGCGTTTTAGTAGCAGAAATATATATACTCATATGTACTCATACAGGATGCACAGGACCTTTTCATTTGTCAATAAAGCATTTGACTTCTTAATGATTGATGTGACTGATGACTCTACAAAAGTCACCTTCTGTGAAAATACAGTTACAGCTATACATTTTTTATTGAATAACTTTGTAGAGTCTTTAAGCTTGAAAAAGGCAGGTTGAAGCCTTGCTGAGGCTTCAATCAGTGCTTCTCAAAGTGTGGTCCGCGGACGACTGGTGGTCCGTGAGCGCCCCCTAGTGGTCCGTGAGTAAATTGGTAACATTTCACATTTGAAATAAATAAATAAATTTAAGATTTCCGCACTCTCGCGGGAATATCTCCGCAATGGAGCGAGCTTAAGTTTCAAGCCCAGCGCAACACCTTCATCACACATGTTGCCACTTGTTTGTACAATTTTCAGGCGATTTGTAATCTGTTCTAGAAAAAGGATGTGATTTTGGATATTTGTGGAGTTAGGTGGTCCGCGAGTGTTTTTGTATTGGTTAAGTGGTCCTTGGTATGAAAAAGTTTGAGAAACACTGATCTAGATAAACCTAATCAGAAGCTATTTCAATGGTTCCTAAATGTAACTACTGTACTGACAAAAGGTGGTGTGGTTTTTAAAAGGTGTTCAACATCAACAATTGCAGGCAATGTAATGAGGGTATCATTTTTGGATAAAAAAGTAAGTACAAAGGATTGGAAAACAAACTATGTAAGGAAATGGTTTAAAGTGATCATAACAGGTGTGGTGACACGTTATTGGACATAATTCACCTTGCTTATTGTGTTGCCACACGGACCCTTTAGTGGGGAACACCTGTAGCTTTAGCTGCCATTCCTGCTAGCTCATCATGGCAGAGCAGTGCATGTGTTAACCTCTCTGAAGTAATGGATAATAAAGATTGGAACTCCATTCTTAATACAACCGCCTCCGACTCTCTTTTCACGGCACTACACTGGTGACCCTGACGTTTCCGAGAAATTGTCCGGAAA